AAGGTGAGTCTTTTACTAAGGAACATGTAGTAAAATCCTATGAATATAAAGCAAATGCTTTTTTTTTTTTTTTAATTTTGCAAAGCCATGTTAAAACTATTAAAGCTTCTCTTACATTGGTACATTTTCAAAACTGGGCATACATCTCTGTGTCCACCGGTGAAGCTCGGGCATAGGCTATAAAGCAAGGTAGAGAAGAAAATAATTTTGGGTTTAAGTTAACTTTCAAAACAACTGCCTTAATTATAGTGAACTCCTGAAAACCTTTTCTTTATGTATATTTTAAAATATTGAATATTAAATACTTTTATTAGCTCTAGCATTTACTTGTGCTTAAAGTAATTTTTTGTTAACCAAGAATCTCTTGGAGACTTTTTTATTCTGATTCTCATGCTCTATGTGTTTGTCTTGGACATTCCTTCTTTTACTCTGGTGTAATTCCCTTTATGCTTTTGTGTCAAAAAAAAATACAGGGGCAAACATCTATTATGTAATTCATGAAGACTGTTGAGACTATATGACTATTGTGTAAATGTGTACTGAACTCGGGTATTCAAAAAGGTGATGGGAATCCTAAGGTGGGTGTCATGCTTCACTCTTCAGCCTTCCAGGAATTCCTGTGAAGGAACTTGATGCCTGTACTAGAGGAGCAACAACAAACTCGCTGTACAAACCATCTAAGTTTTGTAGATAAGACAGTTCTTTAAAACTGAATTTCCTTTTTTTCTTCTCTTTTTTTTTTTCCCAAATCTCTCTCTCTGCTCTGCTGTGCAGTTTCATTAACCCTATAGTCTACCTCAATTGTCAGGCACCAGTACTGACTGGGTTCTTAGCACTCCAGCAGCAGAGCAGGCTGGGAGCTGAGTGCTGCCATCATAGCAACAAACTGCAGCCTCTCGTCAGTTCCATGGAGGCATTTGCATTGTGGTGCAGGTAACTGCTTCTGAGGAGTTACCAGTTAACCACTGAACAGAATCTGCTTGTGTGGAGACATCTTTCAGCTTATTCTGCCCATCTGGTAAATACTGCAGAAGTTGTCATTGCTGCTTAGCACTTGAGTTTGACTTTAATACTGTATTTTAAATGCAGTTCTTCTAATATTGATTCCCAGTTTACCAGCTATACCTGTTCTATATATGAAAATCTCGTTTCATTCCAATATATGTTGTTATAAAGCAATTTTCTATTGTTTCTGTACAAGCTTTCTAAATTGTTAACGCTGTGAAGTTCCTGGCTTATACTGTTTTAAACAATATTTTCAGATGTTGAGTGGTAATTCGTTCTACCTGTGCAACTTTGGTTATTGTAAAACAAAAATGCATGCAAGTAAAAAACTTGGTGTGGTACGTAACAAACTCTCAGCTGTAGTATAATGTCATGTGAATGAAATGGGCAGAGTGGATTTTGCAGTATTTCTTTAGGATATTGACTGTACTTTAAAAAGACCAATCACCATGTTTTAAAAGCTGTGCAATTTTGGACCTTTTATTTGGAGTATGCATACTTCTCCAGTGAATTTTCTATTTAAAAAAATAATTAAAACCCAAAACCAAAACACAAACCAAAAAAAACCCAAAACACTTTTGCCTTATTCAGACAAGACTCTGAATTACATAATATCCTTGTCTGATGGTCTACCGGTAGATAAATGCAGCATGTGTATCTGTTTTTGCCTTTGGCATTGACAACACAGGTATTCCAAAAAATGTCCTAGGGCTCTGATGTTCAGGAGGACTAAAGATAAGCCGCTCACCTCATATAATACAGTGAATAAGGTTGCCACAACAGTTCTTGACTTAGGGTTTGAGGAGAGAGGGAGTATGGACGATGCTATGTAAAATCTAATTGTTGTTTTATCAGGTGTAAATCCAAGATTTGGAAGCATTACTTAAAGATTTGGCATAATTTAAGACATGTTCTAACTTTAAAACTAGACTTCTTACGGAACTACGTTTTGAATCCCTCTCGTATGACAGGATTCCTATCTGAATGATTTTCACAGATGAGGATCTAGAATTTTCAAGCTGAACTTGAAATGTATTGCAGATTTTTCTAATTTGTGTTTAATTTGCTGCATGTGATGTTTTTACAACAATAGTAAACTACATTAACCATAAATGTTGTTAGTTAGAACCTTTCTCAGTTTCCCTCATCTTTAAAGGTGTTTTGTTACAATGACTGTCTTTATCTCATGTGCAAAATAAGCAAGGTTACTTCAGTTCACTGGAATTGTCCCAGCGTTTTGCCACAGGGCAGTGTGCGGAGTTTGGACTTCTCATGACCTAATCCAGTATTGAGTCCTAGGTAGTAAGCCTTCCTCAACTAGATTCAGACTTACCATCACCTTTTTATGTGATCCAAAGATTCCCTAGGTGTTTCAGATCTGAATCTTAAAGGTGTTCTTCCTTGAATTACTGAGATTGCCTTTCTGTCCTCTCTGCCAGGGAACTAGTAGTGCTTTTCCACCCAGCTCATACCCTGCTTCAGAGTGCTTATCTACCCAAAAGCTGGTAGGTTCCTTGCTAGTTCAGTTTTTGGTCAGACCAGCTCCCTTTGTGGAGCTTCAATAGTTACAGGTGCACTAGGGCTAACATGAGAGAAGAGATGACAAACAGCAAAATGTGGCAAGCCAACAGTCTGAGAAGCGGTAGGACTGCATCCTTCTTTCCAGGTCATTGTCTTAAAGGCGTGCTTCAGGCATTCTGTTCCTTTCCACACGGAGCACATGATAAATCTGACCCGTTAAAGTCAGACCTTTCTCTTGTGTGTTTGTTTGCAGTGTACCAGTGCCTGAAACAGCCTGACATAACCTGAAATTGTTTATCAGAAGTAAACAGTTACAGAGGGGTGTTTATTTTTATCACTTAAAGCCTGTTTGTTGTTGTTCTGGTTTCTTTACAATGAACTTTTTTAGAGAGCGGTTTGTATTCCTTTTCTGTTTTGAAGGAACCATGTATGTTTCATGTAATTCAGTGTCATCTTTCAAAGCATGTCTGCCACTTGTGTACCAAAGTGACCACAATTTAGTAAGCGAACGTGGTCATAACTGAATATCTGCTCCCCCTGGGCTGTGTGGCGTTAGTACTGTTTAGGATCTATACACAAACTGTCTTAGTGATTCTGAAGTGCTAGACTCATACAAAATTTAACAGAGGGACCTTTCTAGGTTAACAGTTTCCTACCTCCTTTCTGTTATTTGTGAAGAAGCTTCTTTTTCCTGTCTGTATGCCTGCTGAATTACAGACCAGAAAGTAAAAACCTAGTTTATTATGAGTGCTGTTGATTGACAATGTATTTCTAAGGAATTAAGTAACTCTTCAACCACTTGTAGAGCTTCTGTTTCAAGGCAAGTGCATAAATACTGTGATTTTCATTATGGACAAACTTCAGGAGTGAAATCAAAAGCTTGTTGAAATGATCTTGTAATGAAAATATTTATGCATCCCAAACATAGTATCTTTGAAACTGCCAACAATCTTCTGATGTGTTAAAAACCAGAGGCTTTAGGTTCATGCCTAGATTCTGTGCTACCTGCTTACCACACTCATAAATGGGCTGGTGTGAGTCTTTTTCAGCTCTCTAATGGGAGTAATATGTCATTACTTAGAAGTAATCTCAAAGTATTCTATTCTTATGCTTTTACTTACTGTATTAAATTATTCTTGTAAATTTTGTTTCTGTGGTTTTGGGACCCTGGAGCGCAGATCATATTTGATGTAGCATAGGAGTGAGGAACAGTTTCCTCTCCTGTGACTGTGCCCCCTCCACCGTTTGCTGCTGGTCACTGGGTGTTGTGCTGTGACCCACATTCACCCTGCCTGCCAGCTTCGTCCTCTGGCCCTCTTCCAGCTTTGGCAGTGCTGCTCCAGTTTATGGAAGTCTGCAGCAAATACGCAAACAGCGTGAAAGCAAAGAGGCTTAGAATCAGCTCCTTCTCTATGTTTTTGTTCTTTTGAGGGGATTTGTTTCATCTTTAGGTCCTGTCATGCATGTAGAGCAAGTAATGCTGTAAGAACTGGGGTTTTTTTTGTAATGGATGGAAGAAGAGCTGGAGTGCAGCTAAATAGAGAGTTGAATTTGGTGTGTGGCTGAAAAAGATGAACTTCTTCCAAAGAATTATGAAGTTGAATTTATACTAAGAGAAAATGAAATAGGTTAAGGTTTTAGGGATGATTATAGAAGGCCTCTTGATCATGTGGAATAATGTTCTGAAATATCAAGTGGTGTAATTGTTAATCGGAACATGTCACTCTTAGTAGGTTTAATAATTAGTTATACCTCAGCATATAGTTTGGTGGTGTGGTCTAGTGCATAAGAAAGTTGAGTGGTCTATCCAAAAAATATACTTGTGGCTTTGATATGCATGTCAGGTGAGATTGCCCTCTGAGAAATGAGACTATATTGTGGTGTTTAGGAGGACTGGCAAACTTACCAGGCTTATTCATAAGTTTATCATCTCTTGACTCGCAGAAGATCTTAAGAATGCATTCTGAATAGCTTGTTTCATTTTCCTGCTCAATGCTTAGGTGAGATTGAGGTGTGATAGCAGTGCAGGTATGCCTGTAAGCTGAAGCTGGCAGAACCTTTGGGTAGAGTCGTTACACTCGCATTGTTGCTTTGGATACAATGAACCTGGTTTGACATTGTTAAACACCAGTTAGACACTAGCACTTAGAGTAGCCAGTATGCCCAAAAAGGATGTGCAGGTAAAATACTTTGTATAGAAAAATGGCCTTCTTTAAAACTTGATTTAAGTGTATCTTTCAGGGGGGTGGAATTGAACTGGTTTTAGAACGGGTATATTATTTTCACAACTTTTAGGCAGTGCTCTTTACAAATACTTGTGTTTGGAGGCTGTATTTAGTAGTGTTTTCGGGGGGAGCAGGTGTTTTTTCTTATACTTCTTGCAATAAGGTTGGGTGATGATCTTTTATGCCTGAGTGTGGAAATTTGTTACATCAGTCTGTTTTAAAAGTTAAACTCTTTTCTCTGTAGGTGCACCTGTAGAGACTTCTCCAGAGGAGCAGACAGCCTCTTGTGAAGGTAATTGGTTTTGTGTTCTGACGGTATGCCACACAGCTCCATTAAATGTGATTTAAACAAATTATTGCAAAGAATCTCCTTTTCAAAAATCTCCATGAACCTTTTCCAATCTTCATTCTCTTTATCCTCATACTACTATTGTAAGGCAGTGTGGTTATCTGTGGTTATTTACACTTTATAGCCAGTCGAGCACGGCGCATAAAGACCAAGTGGTTTATTGAAGGTCATAAAGCTTGCATGAAGCAGAATTTTCAAAATTGGATCTGTATCTTAAGTGGCATTGGCAAGCACCCAAACATCTGAACTATACTTTTTATTAATTTAGTCACTCCTTTTTTTTTTTTCTTGGTACTATCATGGCAAATGTGTCCTTAATGATTCCTTTTTTTCTTTTTTTCCCTCTAGGTTCAAATGCTGCTGTTAACATGGAAATTTCAGAATCTGTTGGTAAGATGAGAATTGTTCCGTTTCACTATGATACGACTATAAAATACTACTATAGTGCTTTTGCTGAATCATTGCAAACAAAATTGAAGAATACCTTATTAAGCCTTTGTATTTTTGGTCCTTATTAATTTTCATTGTGTCCTTAGATTAGGAAAGAGGTAATCGAACACTACTATGTGTTGACAGATGCAGTTGGATTACTTGGACACTGAAAAAGCATCAGTGCTTTATTAAACAATAATGTCATGTTACAAAATAATACCATTAATATGTGTGAAATGGTGATTAACAAAAAAGGTGATATAAAAAATCAAAGCATGGAAATTGTATCTTTCTCCTTGTATTTGTATGGCTTTTGAGAACTTAAACCATTATGCCTTCCCTTTTCTTTCTAAACATATGGTAGTGTGTGTCTGTGGATTCAGACCAGCATGATGGTCTGAGTGGATCTTCAGATTTGTTTTTTTCCCTTCTAAAATTGTTGCCTTATTAAAACAGAAGTCTCTTAATCCCTGTGAATCATAGTTTTCTGATGTCAGCACACAAGCTAGTTTGAAAGCTTCCAGTAATAATCATTTTAGAAACAAGCAGCAGTGCCCATTTTTATGCAGGAAGACATTAACAGACTGAATAGTCAAAATCTTCTGATTGTGCCTTGGGGCCAGGGGCTTTTCTCCGTAGTCATTGCTTTTAATTTGATTATCTATTTGAATATATCTAACTGGTTAATTTTTAGTGGAAAATGGAGAGACAGAAATGTCACCAGAAGAGTCATGGGACCACAAAGAAGAAACAAGTGACGCAGAGCTAGGAGGTGGTCCTGCAGGGGATGCAGGACCTTCTGAAGAAAGTGCTCAGGAAATGATGGAAGAGGAGGAGGAAATACCAAAACCGAAATCTGTCGTAGCACCGCCAGGTGCTCCTAAAAAAGAGCATGTAAATGTAGTATTCATCGGGCACGTAGGTAAGTTGTACGTGAACGTGAAGTAATTGGATCTTTACATTGTGTATTGTCTAGAACGTGGAGGATCAGAAATTAATCATGCTCTTTGTAGGGATGTATGTATTCACAGTGTCTTGAGGTTAATAAGAGCATTCATTCTAACGAATCTGCTCTGGAATAATTAAAACACTTAAAGAAGGTCTTTCGGGGATGAGTGCCTGTGTTTTCTTGAACACAACAGTGTCTGTGTTCATGATTTCTCAACTCCCTGCTCTGTTGAGTCCTTCAGTGACATATCTGTGTTTGTGATCCAAAGAACAAAATCAGAAAGCAGTGCTCATTTTCTGCTTATTTTAAATATTTTCAGAGGGTTCTTATTAATTGTTATTAAATTCAAAAATATTATTCAAAATATTAAAAATTGTAGAGCTATAAACAATAGATAAACATAATTCAGGGTTAAAAGCAGCATTTATAACAAAATGTTCCAATCGAATAGTTTCAACAAGCTTCAGAAAAATCTTAAATGGTGTCAAAAGTACAGAAGAATTAATGAATCACAAGTTTTACAGCAAATTCTGTATTTTTGTTTGTATAGCCTCTTATGTTAAAAGTAGCTTAGGTAAATTTGGAGTTACACAAAGTAAAGAGGCAGTGAGCAGAGGTACATCCCAATGTTGAAGAGCAGCCTACAGAAATTAGGGACAAGGGAGAAAGGAAGCAGGGAAAGGGTTTTTCCAACAGCTTCCCACACTTTTGTTGGACCACTGCTTGTTGGGGTTTTTTATGTGACGGATAATGCCAAGTTTGTATGTATGAAAATGGAATTTTCAAAATTCAGTGTAATTGAATTGACAGTTATTACAGAAACAAGGGAAGATGAGAGATGCTTCAAAAAACTTAAATTAAAATTAAAAAAATGTATCTTTGGAAATAGATGACCTTGTTCATAATTGTTTTCATCTTTTTCTAGGATTTTCTTTTCAATTGTGAATTAATTTTTTAATTTTGTTTTTTAGATGCTGGCAAGTCAACTATTGGAGGACAAATAATGTAAGAAAACTCTTAAAATTTTTAAATTTACTGTTCTTTCTTGTGAGTTAAAAATACATTAAGTAAAATGAGTAATATTTTCTTTATAGCTTTAATCAGCATAGATTAATATTTTTATAATAAAATGTTACTCTTCCTGTCAATTTAGTTATTTACTGACTTCGGAATTTTTTAATTCCAGCAGATCTAATCTTATCGCTTTAGGAGTTTCACTTACTTAATGGAAACAACTATGCAAAAGCATACATTATTAAATTAAAAAAACTCTATCCCTTTCTTTGAACATGACCTTTTTTCTTCATCATTTTAAAATGCTATTTGAAACTGCTTTATACCTTTTGTTAAACTTTGTCCTTTTTGTGAAGATCAAAAAAAAATAATATTCCCTGATGCTAATGTTGTCAGGCATAATTTTGTTTCAAAATACAAAATTATAATAGTTAATCTTTTCAGTCTATTTTAGAAACAGTATCTAGAGACTGCAGTATTTTTGAGACAGAAGTAAATAAATGCAGCTGAATCTTGTAGTTTGTAAAAAAAACCAAGAAATGGGAAGCAGTACATGAAGAAATAAATGCTATCCTGCTGATGCAAAATATTTCTATGATTTCAAAATAATATTCTCAGCAAAAGTGGGAGGTCTTTGTCTTAGCATTCTCATCTTGTTTTGTTTTGACCAAACTGGAATGTTGGAATTGTCATGCTACATTTAACCTTGTAGTTCATACTAGAGCAAATTAGCATTTTATTATCTGATGTGCCTGAGGATTCTTCTTGTACAAGGAGATGCCTATTCTTAACATTCCTGTCGATGTGTTATGTTCCTAAGGCTTTTTGTGGTCTTTCATTTTTGCAGAATATGCCTCTGTTGTAAGGGCAAAGAAAAAAAAATGCCTGAGTGCTTGTACCAACTTTGTCATTAGCCCTTTATTTACTGTTATCAGTAGTTTTCCTTATAAACTAACGGGAAATAGATGAGGGAAAAATATGAAAATTTTAATATGATAAAACTGTACACTACTCACCTACCTCTTAATAACTGAAAGGTCTCTCTTAAAATATTAGTTTCCTTGTTCTATCTATAAAAAGAATGAAACCAAAAATATTTTTCTTTACATTTCAGAAACGAATGAAGGTTTTGTGAAAAATTCTCCTATCACAATTTTTATGTGATTTTGACATATTGGATTAGTCTCAGAAACGGACTCAGCAGATGTAGTTCCTTTTCAAAACTTGTCTCTGCAGAACATTTTACAATTAGACTTGAAAAGAGGGATTCCTCATTCTTCTGCTAAAGTGGTACTGGTGTACTTTTATGTATCAGATAATGGTGTGGCTTTGTGGAGGAAAAAGTTTCACTGCTGCTTGCATCAGGCTGTTCCAGTTTTTCAAAAATAATCTGTAGGGATTGTATAACTATTTAACTATGTGGAACTATGTTTCTGCTTATGTAAAATTGCACTTTTTTTCTGTTCCCCCCCTCCCCCTTAGGTATTTAACAGGAATGGTTGACAAAAGAACACTTGAAAAATATGAAAGAGAAGCTAAAGAAAAAAACAGAGAAACATGGTATGAACTTGCTGACGATAATAGCGTGCTTTTCTCTTTGCACTGTGATGAAAATGGAAATTTTTTTTAGTCTCTGTCCCTGTAGCACTGGCTTCCTGCTGGAATGGGTTTTGAGCTTGGGGGAGGAATCTCTTGTTTTCCTCCAGTACTTCTTTAACTAAAGCTATACGAAACAGCTATTCACGTTGGAAGAGGTTTTGCTGCTTTTTTTTTTTATATTAGGTCAGCACTTCACATTCCAATGCTTTGGTAAACCTACTTGCCTGGTAAAAAGGAATTCAAGACAGATGCTTTTCTTAGGCAGCTCTTGGGGGTCATTCTATCTGTATGTCTTTCACCTGTAAACAGCAGGGAGGTATCTAAGGGACAGAGATCAAAGCTGTCAGTTGGGCAGACATGAGGAGGGAGCAAGTGAATAGTTCTGACTGTAACATATATTGATATAAAAGTGAGATATAAAATAGGATCTGCAGTTCTTACGTTTCCTCCAGGCAAGAGGATGCTGCTGTCATGTGTGGGTTTTTTTGAGGGTCTTTGGTTGTTTGTTGTCTTTGGTTGGTTGTTGTCTTTGGTTGGTTGTTGTCTTTGGTTGGTCTTAATAAATGAAAATTATGGTTTAGAATTGCGTCCTTCTAGGTATGTGAGGACGAGCTAGCACTGGGCACTACAGCTCACTATATGTACACAAAACATTCAGTTGAAAGTCACTGTTGGTCTTGGAAATGCTTAAGTTCAGTAATGCTGAGGTGGTTAGAATAATTGATCAGAAAAATTACATTTTATGATGAACAAATAATACATAAATTTAGTAAAAAATTAATGCACAACTAGAATATTTGGGTTGAGGTTGTTTTGGGTTTTTTTGTAGGTACCTTTCATGGGCCTTAGACACAAACCAAGAAGAACGAGACAAAGGTAAAACAGTAGAAGTGGGTCGTGCCTATTTTGAAACTGAGAAGAAACACTTCACTATTCTAGATGCTCCTGGACATAAGAGCTTTGTTCCAAATATGATTGGTGGGGCTTCTCAAGCTGATCTTGCTGTGCTGGTAAGGACAAATCAGAATCTTTTATTTTGGATATACTGTGGAATTAAGCTTTTGATTTTTATTGTTTGTTTGTTTACTCTTTTAGTTAGTTACAGTGGGCAAAATTTCCAAATCTTAAGTCTACCAAGTTGAGTGGTTTTTAAAGTAACTAAACAGCATCATAAAATTGTCAGGTGTCATGTGATTTTTATGTATGTCAGTGCAGAAACTAATGGGTAACATTGAATATACACAAGTGCTTTTTGAAAGCTTTTACCAGTTTTGACTGCCCAAAGTTATTTTTGAATAAGACAGTATTACCCATTGTCAATTTGTTCTGTTGAGAGAATTGTAGAACTCTTACTAAAATGTGTATTTTTAATTAGGTTATTTCTGCAAGAAAAGGAGAGTTTGAAACTGGATTTGAGAAAGGTGGGCAAACAAGAGAACATGCCATGTTAGCAAAAACAGCAGGTGTAAAACATTTAATAGTTCTTATTAATAAAATGGATGATCCAACTGTAAACTGGAGTAATGAAAGGTGAGTTTAATATTAAAAAAAAATCTTTGTTAGAAGATACTGAAATAAAATAGTTCCTAACTAAAGTAACTTTTTGCATTCTATTTTTGCTGAAAGAATGGTAGACTGGTGGACTAAAGACAGAAGTTACCAAAATTGCAGGAAAAACAGAAGCATAGCACCTAAGACAGTGCCTCTCAACTAAGCTCGAAGTTCTACATTGCCTTAAAACGTTCAATTTCAACTGTCTGTATCTGTGCAGCTATATCTAACAAATCCATGCATTCTGGCATAGTTTAATTGTTGACTTTGGAAACTTCATATTGAACCTAAAAGGAAGCAACTCTGTTTTCAGTAGTTTAGTTTGCCAGATTCTTCATTGCTCAGCCACGTTTCTGTGAAACTCCTAGCTTAGATTTGGTGAGAACAGCATTATCCTGTTCACCTTGTGTCCACTCTGTGGTGTTTGGAGTTGTTCTTTTATGATAAGCTGAATTTGAGTAAGCAAATAATAGATTAAAGAGGTTGGTGATTAGTCTGAGAAGGGGGGAGGGAATCTTGCGATGGTACAGGCCAGGTAAAAATAACTAGAAAGTCAATATGTACTATTTAAATAACTATTAAAAAGGATCGAGTTATTCTTTTCTGCCTTAACACTCAAATGCTACTAACGGGTAAAAAGTGTAACTTAGTCCTTCCCTAGGGTTAACTTGTGTAATGACAGGATGCAGTTTTCTACAATGTAAGAAGAGGAGTTGTCAGAGAACTTGCTGTGCTGTCAAGATAGTGAAAGTCTGTGTGGAAAGCTATGAGGGACTATGCAACCTTACAACATGAGCCTAGTTTACTAAGAGAATAAAGCATGTGCAATAGTGCTGTCTTGGTCCTGCCTCAACCTGCTGACATTACTGAATTCAGCTAAAACTGACGGAGGGGAAGCAGTGTAATAGAAATTAATAGCACTAAATCTTAGGAAATTATGTAGGAGATTGGAGGAGACCAAGGCACCACTGAGACAAAAGCCTGACCTCTCTGCTTGGTCTGTCCTGCTGTCTTGGCCTGGAATCTCTTGCTTAAAAGCAGATGTAGCATATGCTGCCACTTACCCAGCCTGGTCATTGAGATATATGGAGAAAACTAATGATACTTTATGGAGCAGCAGAATGAGTGGGAATAGACAATACCAAGTTGTGCTGTGGAAGACTGGGGAGAAGATGCAAATAGACCGCCAAGCTTTATTAGGTTTTCTGCTCACAGAATAACTTAACTGATGAAAATTAAATGTCTGTGTGTTTTGGGTTTGGTTTTTTTAGAGCACAGTATTATGTCATGCTAGAATAATTGAAACTTATCTTGATCTGCTTGTCATTTTAATAGATATGAGGAATGTAAAGAGAAACTGGTGCCATTTTTGAAGAAAGTTGGCTTCAATCCCAAAAAGGATATTCATTTCATGCCCTGCTCAGGACTCACTGGAGCAAACCTTAAAGAACAGTCAGAATTCTGTCCTTGGTATATGTATGTATCTTAAATTCAACAACTTGGATGTTTGCCAAGTTTCAATACAAGTAAACGCTACAGCAAAGCTAGAAAGAATTACAGCATGGTATATTGTAGCTGTGTTCTAAACTGCTTGAGGAAATACAGTCAGGGCGACAAGAACACAGCCATGCCAAGAGCCAAATAAAAGCGTTTACGAACTGCAGAAGATTAAAGGTAGCAGACTCTGTAATAGTATTAGCAGTGTTCTTTGGCTTTGTGAGTTTGAATGCCATAGTAGCCCTTGAATTTTCCAGTGATGCTGCAGCTGACAGATTCCTAGAATGAGTAATTGTTTGATGTGAACAGTTTGCTTGAAGCTGTATTATAATTAGTGACAAGCCATGTCTCTCACTGGATGTCATATTTTCCAATATTGTTCATGGCAGTTAAAACATTACTGAAAATCCTGTTTGGACCTAGCTGATGGTTTTGTGTTTCCTAAATATATTACATGTCTAGCAAGATTCTCAAAGGCATGATTAATAAATACGTCTGTAATGTAACTTAAAAACTACATGCACGGCCTGGGTATTAACATGTTAGCTCGGGTAAAGGGGACACTGATGATGGGATGTTACGATAGATTTAACTGTCTTAGAGGTCACTGTTCTTAATAATGACAGAATGAAAACCATTCCTTTTGTTGGACTGCATTTGTCCATTCTATGTAATTTTTAAATAGAAAGGTGCTCGTGTAATTGAAACAAATGCCTTTTGCCCTTTTAGTGGATTACCATTTATTCCATACCTGGATAATTTGCCAAATTTCAACCGTTCAGTTGATGGACCAATCAGGCTGCCAATTGTGGATAAATATAAGGTACGAATTAAAATAATAGTCCATTTATACTTTCAATCCTATTTACTGTATTTTTAGAGAGTATCTTTTTTTTTTTCTTTAGTATGTCTATGTTTCCAAGTGTAGAATAGGGGTAGGGAGGGGAAGTAACTAACTTTTGCATTATATGAGACTCTTAAAATCTGTAATCTTTCATGAGAACAGTTTCCAAAACATGAAGTATAGCAATGCTAAGTAACTTCATAGGGTTAAATAATCATACTTGGAGTTAAATCATAAGTAGAGTAGACTCTTTAGAAAAATGTTTTTAATTTTTATGTAATAATTTCATTTTGTGAAGGATATGGGCACTGTGGTCCTTGGAAAGCTGGAGTCAGGCTCTATTTGCAAAGGACAACAGCTTGTGATGATGCCAAACAAGGTATGGTAAGGTTTAGATATTAAAAAATGTTACTACCCTAAAGAAGAGCTTGATTCTTAAAGATACTCATTACTTTAAACCAGAAAATTTTCTCTCGCTCAGTTGAGCACAACCAAGCTTTCGCATTTTACATGGGTGATGTTTCCAGGTATATGTGCGTGTATAGTTTACTTCCTTAACATTCAGAACTCAGATAGTCTGTTCTTAATAAACTCATTTGCCGGGCTACAAATCATCATAGCTTATTCGAACTGTGTTTTACTTTGCATTTGTACGGTTGGCCTACAAAACTTTTTAAAATTTTTAAATTTGTATTAAAATGATTTGGTATGAGACTAAAATATTCACAATCGAAAACTGCATTTTTGCTTTCTTTAAGCACAATGTGGAAGTTCTTGGAATCCTTTCTGATGATGTAGAAACTGATTCAGTAGCCCCAGGTGAAAATCTAAAGATCAGACTGAAGGGAATTGAAGAGGAAGAAATCCTTCCAGGATTTATTCTTTGTGATCTCAACAACCTGTGTCATTCTGGACGCACGTTTGATGCCCAGGTAGAATAACTGGCGTTTAATTGCTGCATAGATGGGTAAAAAGCATTAAAATACTTTGCTTGTCTTTCACCAAATCTAAACTTCAGTAGTTTCAAGTTTCAGTTCAGATTTCTTATTCATTATCTTATCTCTAAGTTGACAATAACATATATGCCTAACACTCTGACATCATTTGTTGGAGTTTTAAAAACATCATTTGTTTTGAATGTAACTTCTCAATAAAGTTTTAGATGCCTATAATTGTGAAAGCAAGATCTTGTCAGGCCAATTATTCAATGTTATGCTTTCATATTATAAACAACTTCATCGTTTACAAATTTTGTTTCTTTCACAAAAAGTTGGTGTGGGTGTGTGTGTTGTTCAACTATACGTTTTAATACAGTTCTGTATTTGATTATTCCCCGGTCTTTTATGATTGAAACGAGGAAAAATGCACTTATTTTTAATTGTTTTACAGATAGTGATAATTGAGCACAAATCCATTATCTGCCCAGGTTACAATGCTGTGCTGCACATCCACACCTGTATTGAAGAAGTTGAGATAACAGTAAGTGTCCTTTTAAGTTGTGATGTGAATATAGACAATCCACTTACTGGGGTGAGGAGTTCTGTCATGAGGTACATCTGTAGAGCAACTAATGCAACAAAGCTCAAGCCTTGAATGGAGTCTTTGGTCAGTACTGTGACACAACCAAAATTGACTGTAATTTAGCATAAGCCTTCTGAAAAGTGTGGTAAGTCATGATGGATTCTCTTATGCAGGAAGTCTTAGAAGTTTTTTTATTATTATTTCTAAGTATTTTCTTTCTTAGACCACTTTGGTTTTGATTGTAACAAAAACATAACCCTTATTTTAGTACTCACAGCTATTGATTTTTTTGTTATGCAGGCCTTAATCTGCTTGGTAGACAAAAAAACAGGAGAAAAAAGTAAGACACGGCCCCGTTTTGTGAAACAAGATCAAGTATGTATTGCCCGTTTAAGGACAGCAGGAACTATCTGCCTTGAGACATTCAAAGATTTCCCTCAGATGGGTCGCTTTACCTTAAGAGATGAGGGTAAGACTGCTCGATGGACAGTTATTAAGTGCTGCAAAAATACAGTTATTTGAAATAGGAGATTATTCATGGCAATGAGGTATTAAAATGCTGGTATCTAGTGGAAATCACTATCTGGGCAACAATGGAAAAGTAAACCTAAGCAAATTGTTGTCATTGTGCAGAGTTCTTGCTAGTAACAAAAAACATGGTTTATTTTGGAGGAATAATGTACAGAAATGCGCACTGTGAAACAAAAGGTTGAATTTGAAAAATTACCAGCATGCTTTTAGAAACTTATACATTCTTTTCACAACATCATGTAACTCTACAATTTGTCTCCTTTGTTTAGGTAAGACCATTGCAATTGGAAAAGTTCTGAAACTGGTTCCAGAGAAGGACTAAGCATTTTTCTCAATGACCCCCGCACAATACTGTGAGGAAAATCGACTCTGCAAAAGCCTACTTCACACCGCCTTCTTATTTTCTGCCCATTGATAAACTTCTCCCCATATTTTGCGAAGACAAATTTCACAGCAAAGGTCCACATTATGTCAGCTTTCTCATATTGAGAGCTCTGCTATGCCACTGTTGAATTTTCCCAAAAAGAATTTTTTTTTTCTCCCAAATTCTGCTTCCTTGGAAAGATTCGGCAATAGCTTTGTAAGTGATGTGGACATAATTGCCTATAATTATGAAAATCTAAAGGATTTTTAATGTTTAATTTCCCCCAGCATATATATATTAAGACCTCGTTTTTCCAGGCAGATCATTCAGAGTGTGCGAGTGTGTGTGCACATGTTACAAAGACGACTACCATGTTAATAAACTATTCAATTTCAAATCTTTTTCGGTATTTGAATTGCTTTTGAATAATGTTTTTTATCCGGATGTAACGCAGTTGCATTAGCTTTTTAACTTTCCAGTAACCTGGATATTTGGTTACTTGGACTTTTCTAAACTCCTCAGCCTCCCCACACACACAGTTTTAAATGAGGCAATTGGGCACTCGAGCAAGTTTGTATTAAAATAATTAGGTTTGCCCCTTCGCTTTGATGAATGCATTCTTAAAATTAAAAAACATTCATGCAAATGTGGCACCTTCATTAGCTTTACATTTGTTAATATCTTCAGCAAATTTCAGTTGACTTAACATCGTTACTAGACACAGTAAGTCAGTTTTGAAGGCTAGAACTACATATTGCGTCTTCATAAAAATTCATTATTAAATTCTTAACTGCAGAAAATGCTAACAACCAGTAAATCAGTGAAACTTGAAAAAGTAAGAGAATTTGTGGCAATAGTGCCTATTAGTATTTATAAGAGCTGCATTTTGTGGGAGAACTGGGCCAATTAAAAAGTGCCAGTTATATAAGTTACTCAGTTCACTCTGTCTTTAATTTAGAGGGCTGGATAATCCTTGCTGTTTTAAAGATGAGTCTGAACTGAGAGGGAGAAAGACTATTTAAATCCCTAAGAGTTTGCACATATTGAAATATGGGAGGGTCAGAATCAAGCACAGTCTGTAAATTTTTGCATATCAAGAAGCAACGTAAGCTTGTGACGACCAGTGAAGTTTTTCTTGAGAAACTAAAGCAAGACTGGTTCAGAATGAAGCTTACTCAGTACAACTTGAAGGAGCTGCATAATAAAACCTTATTTAGCTGCACTTTGAAAATGGACTGTCCACAATTGCTATCCTGATTCTAACAATTAGGATGAAGGCTAACGGATTTTTTTCCATTTCCCAGAGTATCAGTAGTAAGTATTAAAAGGTATCTTTAGAGCTTCTTCAGAATGTCTTAAACTAAACATTTCCAGTTGTACAATTGTGGCGAGCCCATCTCCTCCCCCAAAAGTTTACAGTCTTGTGACTGTATCTGAATTCACAGATAACTCAAAACTGAAACAGATTTACCTTTTTTGGGTTTTTTTTTGGTTTTGTTTGTTTCTTTGTAACTGTGGAACTCCCATTCATTTCACTTACAGCTACATTGTATGGACAGAAGAAGTTATTGTCCTTCAGTTTCATATGACTACACTTGTAGCTACCGTAATGCATGGAATTTAAATAAATTTTATTATGTCTGCAAATCTCTGGGCTTTTATTTTTTTGGTAAATCAGAGTTTAAAAGTACCATTATTTTTTTTTTCCTACCAAGTGAACAAAACCCACAGTTCCTTGGATCTTAAACTAATGAAGAAATTAAAAGCCAAGGAAACTTGCTGACTTGTTCATATTCTGGATTGACTTTAAGATTTCCACATATCTGACTGCTTTCTGAAGTAAGCTCATGGATTTCAAATTTGAAAAGACTATTATTAGAGAATACTTACAGTTAGATTCCTAAATTGTTGGAACTTTAAAAACTTTTTTTAGCATCGAAATGCATCTTAAGACTACGTGATGCTCCAGTAGACTTTTTCCACTTTTGAGCAAACTTTATGAGGAATTCTAAAACTTTATTATTCTGAGGCTGGACTAAGTATTTATTATTAAACTGAAAAATCATCTGGTGGGTTGAAATACCAGTAGATAGTCTTAGCATTTCCATTACTCATCCCATCTAGTGCATTTGATTATCATTTCCATAAATCCAGTTACTGTCACCTCACCTGTAAAGGGAGGCTAAATTTATTTCAAGTTCATTAACAGAATCTACGTCATACAATTAATGATATTGCTAACCTGTAGGAGGCTTTTATCTGGGTATGAAATATTTGCATTCTATAACAAACATACTGATACGAAGATGTAAGGCATAAATCTACAGAACTTGGCTGTGTTTTTGGTAGAAGAGCTGAAGGTACGTCATATTTGAATAGTCCTCAGATTACATCTCAACTTTTTCATTTCATCTCCATTCTACATTTTATAGTCCCATTTTTACTACTGTTGAGTACAGCTAAATCTAGATGAAAGAAGAAAAAAGATAATGTGGCTTTGTTTGAAATAAATACTATTTGCTGATACACTGATGTAATAAACTTTTTCTAAATGACCATTTTGAATACTTCCTTTTGTGAAAATGTGGTATGCTGCTTTGAAGATGAAAAAAAATAAAGGAGCTGTGCAACCACAATTGTTGAAAGGAAGAAAAAAAAAAAAAAGGAGGGGGCGGGAAGAGGGGGAAATAGAAGTTGGATTGAAGCTACAGGAATCCTAGGAGTACTGCCAGTGTAACTGTGCTAACAGGATACAGGCAGAGTATTCCTGGGCCCTGGTGTGGGTGTAACTAATACCAGTAAAACTGTGTGTTTCTGCAGAAAGGAGGGATTTGGGTTGTCTTTCCCACCCCCTCAGTATAATGGCATTGACAGCAGCCTGTATGTGCAGTGTGGTACTGATGAGGATCACATCTATTCTCCCAAATTGTTAGCCAAAGTTTGTAGTGTAGACATGGCTTAAGTGTATTGCCATGATGTAACTTATAAAAGCATAAAGTATAATTCTGTAAGTTAAGACCTTGTATGTCCTTGAACTGAAAGCCTTGGTATATGTAATAATTAAATATAAAAAAAAAAATCTGAATGTGCAGCAGTTCTGATCATTTTGCAACAGGAAAACAATTACTTGTTTCTGCAAGTCACAAGAAGTAAAGCACAGTAAATGGAGGAATGGGTACAGCGATCAGTCGACTAACGTTGCTATCAGCACCTACTTGAAACCATTCCAGCCACCTTGATCATCTTTTCAGGCAATCAGGAACTGACACAAACGTGATGGCGCCGGTTTCCCGAGATGCTTATTCTGGTAGTAAATTGTACTCTTGAACGACAAGCTATTGATGACAGTGTAACAGTGCTGTAAGAGAAACGGCTGCTTTAAGGAGGTTTATCCACAGGGATATTTGCTGGTCATGAATTTTATGCCCCTCTACAGATTTTTTTTTTTCAATGGCATAAAAGCCCAGTGAAATTGCTTAATGAAGAACATCTGGTTTAGACTACTTATGGCACCAGTCCATATATTTAAAAAAATGTTAATTATGAGAAATGTGTTTTTATAAGTGTTTATTATTGAATATTACCTAAGAAAAAAAAATGTTTCAATGTCCCAAGTATTTGATTCTGTATTACTCTGGCTTTTTGGTTCTTAATGCAGACTGTTTAAATGATGATGTTAAAGCAGATGAAATGTACTCCAGACAAGACTGTTTTCTTCCTGAACTGATACTTAAAGGCTCTTACTTATTCTGCTGTTTTTGTATACCCTATAGAGGATTTGGTAAAGAAAAATATACCAACAAAACTGGAGTTACTACTGAAGATTTCATATTGTGAATCTGTTTCTTTCCTTGTGTTTATTCTAACGCACTATAAACCTGACAAAATATTTCTTTTCCTCTGAAGAAATTCTAGAAAGGTGTCTAGTCGTAATATAAAATGGAAATTTATGCTAACAAACCCAAAATCTATTGTGTGTATATATAACTTTTAATAATACATCCTTTCATTTGCTTTCCTTCCTAAAATGTCTCAATTTCCAACATAAATTGGATTTTTCTACATCTCCCCTCAGTTACATACACCTAAAAATGTCCACATATTTCTGAACAACAGTAGTAAGCGATATGACAGACTAACTGTTGGATGAAAAAAAGGTACTGGAGGCTGTGTTCCTGTCATCTGTTAAGCCTGTAGGACTGATGAGAGGCAAAGGATTCTAACAAGAAAACGTTGCAGCTTGTGTCACAAAGACAGGTGTCTCTGTTCTGGAAAAGTAGTCTCTGAGTAAGTGAATCTTGCACTGTCAGCATCCATCTATCTGACGGTTAATTAGATTATAGCTAGAGGCTTACACTAGGATTGCAAAGGAACACAATCCAAGGAAAAATAGTGCTTGAACTCCAGATGTAGCAGAGAGATTCTCTTCTGAGATCTCTTGTAAGGGACTTCTTACTCCTGTAGTAAGTAGAAGTAGCATATTCTTTGTGCTACTTTTGTTGCAAAAAGTATACTTCTAGAGACCTGGGTTTTTGACATCTGCCATCAAGTAATCTGGAGGAACACAAGCCTAGTCCTGGAACTTCTGGGATGCACAGTAAGGGAACAATCTTAAACCTCAGAGACCTGTTTACAGCAGAAAATATTGCTACTTGTACATCCCTTTTGCTAAGAGAAAGTGTAAAATTAGGGATATATAGAAACATCCTCTTTAAGAAGTAATGAGGTAGAATGGCATTTAATTGTGACAAGTGGTTTAAAGAAAAATACATACTTTCATAATCAGAAAAGTGAAATTGAAGGCTACAGCAGAATGTCACTTTACATCAGCAATAACACTGATGAAAGTAACAAACCTAATTTCCTTTGTAAGAGTAGCTGTTATTTGTGAACTTGCTAAATTAGAAGCATACTCTTTATAATAAATTCATTGCATGCTGTATTAAGCCGAAATATTTCTTATCTGAAGATTAAGGAAGAAAATTAAGAAGAAATTTAACGAAATTTTTTACATTGAGGGTGGTGATGCACTGGAACAGGTTGCCCAGAGAAGTTGTGGATGCCCCATCCCTGGAAGTGTTCAAGGCCAGGTTGGATGAGGCTTTGGGCAACCTGGTGTAGTGGAAGGTGTCCCTGCCCATGGCAGGGGGGTTGGAACTAGATGATCTTTGAGGTCCCTTGCAACCCAAACCGTTGGTTCTATGATTCTATGATTTTATGATTAACTTATTTTTCCAAGAGAGCTCTATTAGATACGTCAAACACCTTTCAAGAAAATGATCATACTAAGTCAGTTAAACCACATCTAGTGAAATGTAGTCATCAGACTTAAAATGTTGCAGACAAATGTACTCGGATGACACTGATATGTGAAAAATTTGAATTTGAGTCATTAACAATAGTCTCTTTAGTTTTATCCTATTAATGCTATGCTGACCTAGTACAGTCAGGCTTCAAGCATACTGTTCAATCATACCTTACAAGACCAGCCTGGCTTATTTTCAGAGAGATCTCCCAGTCATCTTACATCATCTTTTTGTTTTGTTTTAACACGTCACACTTACATGTTGATGTTTTATTAAAACGTGGCTGCTCTAAAATATGCAAAGCTTATGCACAGATAGGATCAAGGCTAATACAATTATCGGATTATAAAACACTAGAGCTAGCATCATATGCGTAAGTTCTACCAGTGCTGAAAAGATTTTAATGGGTCTGCCCTGTCTGGCTACTCCGCATATTCCTAGCCTTTCAGTAATTTTTCTTATCAATGCTTCATACAACTACATGGCAACAAAAGAGAGCTTTTGTTTTTCTCAGCCAGTTTCATTTATTTTGCTCATATGTACAAATCACAACGCAGAAA